TGCTCTATTTTATCTGCTATAACTCTCTTTTTTCCTAAAATAAAAAAGAATTTGACTACAATTTCTTTTTCATGTCGGCATGTCTATAGTGCACAGATTTTATTGTTTGTCATGCAATAGTAGATGAATACATGTAAGCTGTGCATTATGCCAGACTTCTAAGATGATCACATTTGTAATTCGTCAGGTTTTATAATTCAACTCTTTTGATTTTTGGTTTTGATTTTCCTCTGGTAAAAAGTCAATTCTTAAATATTTCTTTTAAAAATGTTAAATCACCTACAAATATGACATAAATTGCATAACATTTTACAGATTACACCATCATTGAAATATAAAGCTTAAGTGTCATTTCATAGAGATGTAACATGCTACTTCACAAGAAGAAAACAAGTTTAACAGAAAGGCTTAAGCTGCATCATGCAAGCATAGAGGTTGCTGAGTTACCCCAGAGCACATGCAGATTTGTTTTCAAACTGAAATGTGTGTGTGTGGCCATGACTTTGATGGAACGTTATTCTCACTTCAAATACTACCCAGTTTGATAATGCAAACATATAACTGAATAGCATATGATAGAAATATGCTGGGTTAATGACAGTCCTTGCTGACATTTGGTAATGTAGCATAACATAATCAGTGGGCAAAATATGTATCCTTGAAACTCCAGGAACCAGAGAAATCTGATTTTCAAGTCTAATGAGACCCTTTTTAAAGGGTTCAGTGATTCCAAGATGCTGGGAATTGTTATGTGAGAATAGCTACATTTTCAAATTTATGTTTAATTGTTCCCGATATTTTTTATTAATAGACTTCAGGAAAGCATATTTTAAATGAAAGTGATACATTTCATTTGCTTAGAGGAATAAGTGTAGACATTCTAAATTGCATACAAGTTTAGAAGCCTAACGTCCCTTGGAGATGCAGTGGGGATGGAGGTTAAGAGCATACCCTTAGGACACAGGACCTTTGTGGAAATGCCAGAGCTGCTCCTGAGCTATGGTTACATGTGAACATTCCGGTTTATTTCTCCTGTTTGCAGTGATAATAATATGTCATCTCATACATATGTTGCAAACGGATCCAGGTTTCTTTACAAAAGTGAGACCTATCTACTAATAATGGCAGTCTACTCAATATGCTGTAGGCATAAATGTTTTCTAAATTGATGATTTTCAACCAGTAATCAAATATAAATAAATGTATCCCTTTGCCAGCATGGGATTTAAAATATCTTTGTTTATTTAAGATTTATGTTTAAATTTTCAATTGTGGGTTTGTGTGTTTATTTTGTTACGCACATGCGAACGCAGTACCCACTGACGCCAGAAGAGAGCGCCATATCCCCCGGAGCCAGTGTTCCACAATAGTTTATTTGTGAGCTGCCTGACTTGGGTGCTGTGCCATAGGGTCCTTATTCACTGAGCTATCTCTCTAGCCCATAAAATATCTTTGAATGAGGTGATTACAACACCTAACATGGGGATTGAGCTGTGAATTAAAGTCATGTTTTCACAGAGGAGACATCATCAAATGCAGAGCCATTCACAGGCTAGAGAGCAGACCACCGCCCGCCCCCTCCCCTTCCAGCAGAGACACTGACTGATGAACGACTCAAGAGCCCAGCCATGCCTGAGCTATGGAAAACATCCTTACGCTGTCGTCGGAAGTTGCCTTATCTATTATCACCTCTGGAAGAAGCTGTCCATTGGGGACCATGAGGGCTGAGGGTCCATCAACAAGCGACACCACGCCATTGCAGTCCACCGCACTGTGCATCTTCCCGTTCACCGACAGCATTTGGGGGGACCTACTGGCCTGGCTGATGTTACTGCTGCGTCGCTCCCGGGGTCTGTGAGGCACAAATAGTGAACCTCGTCTGCTCTCATTGTCTCCAAAAATGCTATGCTCATCATCAGCGAATTCGGTCTCAGATCCTAGATCTCTTCCTCGACCCTTAAAACTGAAGAGACTCGTTCTGCTGCTGCGCCTTGCGGAAAACAAGGAGCCGCGAATGCTGAGGGGTGACTGGAAAAAACAAGACAGAAAGTGTCTGTTGGAGTGTCTACAGATAAGAGCAGGTTTCGTGAAATTATCAGTACATCTTTAGCTTGAGACCACTGATGCTGTGTTTTCCTAAAAGAACCATATTTAAAAGGAAAACAAGTCAACAGAAAGACCAATTATAGCAAATAAAGACTGCAATAATTAGATGACACCATACCCAGAAGCTGGAAAAGTACCTGTCTGGTTCTAATACTAAAACTCATCCACCATAAGGTCTGGGGAACACATCAGTTTATATGCTTTAAAGGAAGCAATAATTAATGAAATTAAGAGACAGGGACTATTACAACTTTGGGGGTGTGCTCCCTAGGGAACAAGGGAAAATTGTCACCTTTATATGATTCCTATCCAGGGTAAACTGTTTCCATAAATGAAAATCCAGGGCAGATTATTTAGAAGTACTAAATTCAATAAGCATTAGTACTTACTATATTAAAGACAAGTGGCAGGCAATGACAAGGTTTTCACCTTAGAACAAGTCTGGTCTCCCTCTTGTCTTTCCTTGTATTAGTATCAAGAGGATTCTAGCTGTCTTTCCTAGATTGTGGACAAGGATCGACTTTCTTTTTCTTCTGTGCCTCACACCTAAGTAACAGAAGCTGGAAACTTCAAACTGTGGTGAAGATGACAATGGCAGCAGTCCTGGGCCATGCATGGAATATCAGACGGTGGGGGGGGGGATACAGAGGACAGAGGAAGGTGTGTCGGAGTATGGGAGTAGGGAGCTTGAGCTAAAAGGGGACGAGGGGGTACTGCTGTGACAGGAGAAATTAATGAGGAAAATTATCAGTAAGAAGCAGACTGGGCTGGGGACATAGCTAAGTTGGTAGTGTGCTTTGATGGGGATGCCCTTCTGTATATATGTTTCTCTTATTGGTTGATGAATAAAACACTGATTGTTCAGTAGCCAGGCAGGAAGTATAGGTGGGGGTACTAGACAAGGAGAATTCTGGGCAAAAAAAAGGCAGAGAGGACTGTGAAAGGAGACACTATGTAGCCACCGACAGAATAACAGGTCTGGGCATTTTCTGGTAAGCCAAGACTACATGGAGATACATAGTTTAATAGAAATGAGTTAGTAATTAAGAGAGAGCTAGCCTAAAAGAAGCTTGAGCCATTGGGCAAACAGTTTATAATTAATATAAACCTCTATATGTTTATTTGGGATTAAATGGCTGCGGGACTAGGTGAGACAGAAACTCCTTTTACAGCGTTTGCCTGGTATGCATATAATGTCGTTGGTTCAAATCACAGCACTTTATCGGGCATGGTGACCAGTAACTATAATCTTAGCACCAAAAAGGCAGAAGGAGGAAGATCATGAGTTCAAGGTCATTCTTGGCTATATAGAGAGCCAGTCTTGAAAACAGAAATGAAATAAAACAAAAATTTTAAAAATGTGCACTAAGTATTTGAGGCAGGGAAGGAGTGAGAGTCCTCAGGTGATAGTGAACATCAGAGCTAGGGAAATGAAGAGTCCAGGAGCACGGAGGAAGCCATGAAGCTGAAGCCAAAGGCAATGTGTGATCTAAGATGTGACTCTGGTTCTTCAGTGTTTATTCAATAGAGTGACCCAACCCTGCTGGACTGTGTAATGTGTAAATGTTTAGTAGCTCTGGAGTCAGGCTCATCTCATGAGTTGGCAGGGGGACCTGGGTGTGGAGGTTTCAGTGTAAAAAACAAGAAAGTGAGAGGGAAAATCCACAGAGAGGAATTTGTTTACTAGTCCACCAAAAGCATCTGTGCTTGGAGTGGAGGATGCCATAGGCATGGGCAAAATTCTACACTGGCTGCTGGTCTACTGGGCTGAAGAAGGTAGAGGCACTAGTTTAAGATGGCCTCCCTCCCTCTCTTCCTCCCCCCTTCCTTTTTTCCTTCCTTCCTTTCCTCCTCGACTCCTCTTGCTATTATCATGAATGAAGTGTTAAAAACATTGACTAAAATACAACTATGAAAATTAATCTGTGGAGTGAAGAATCTCTTCATTCCTACAATAGTTTGCAGGAACATTTTATTTTAGAAAAAATGTTTCACTGGGTGGCGGTGGCACAGGCCTGTAATCTCAGCACTTGGGAGGCAGAGGCAGCTGGATCTCTGAGTTCAAGGCCAGCCTGGTCTACAGAGTGACTTCCAGGGCCACCAAGACTGTCCTGAAAAACCAAAAAAGAAAGAAAGAAGGGAAAATGTTTCGTAGAGAAGATATGGCAATCCTGAAACAACAGCAATTTATGAAAACGGCAACATAACTGATAAAACCCATATACATCTCTCTTTTTTCCATAAACGCCCAAGCAAAGGCAGCGTTTTAGGTAAAACATGGTGGTGAAGCCTCTTCCTTTCCTGGACCCTGACTCCAGAGTTAAATCTTGTGCTGCCTTTTGGCTGAGAAGCCTCGTCTGGTGGCGCCAAAAGTACCTGGTTAGGTGTGGACAGCCTCTTCTCCCGGGCGCGGTGGTGTCCTTCTACACCGAGATGGAAACTTTTCTTTCGGATGCTTTCCTCTGACTCTGACTTGGACAGTTTTTCATCATCGCCCTTTTCTTCGCCACTGGAGATCTTCTTCTGGTTCTTTTTCTTCCTTCTGTTTCTTCTCTCCTTGGCACTCTTTGAGCTCAGCCTGGAGGTTTCTGAAGAACTCTCCGAGAGACCCATCATCCTGCTCCGCCCAATACTAGTGTATTCAGCAGCAGCTGCAGCGATCGCCTGTTGGACCAAGACAATTCCAGCATTTAAGTAATTTCCAAATCTTGAAAAAACAAGCCAGAGGGTACTCAGCCTGTGCATGCAGTTACAATTCTTATTCAGGGGGTGACCTCTGTTTTGTTGCATTTTGAGCAGTCAGCATATGAAGCATATTCTCTTCCTCCCACACATCATAATCAAGTTCCAGTATCTTTGCAACTCAACCCTTATACGTTGTGAACTTCCTTAGAATTAAGCAAATTGAAGTATTCTGTGTTGAAGTTTTACAGGTAGCTTTGCAATATAAAATTCACATAATTCTTTCAGCCTAGATACACTGAGGAGGGTCTAGGCCCTGCCCCAAATTATGTGACAGATTTTATGATCCCCCATAGAAGGGGTGGGGTGGGAGGATCGGGGTGGGGAGGATGGTAGGGAGAGGGAACTGGGATTGATATGTAAAATAAGATTGTTTATAATTTAAATAAAATTTGTATGTAATAAAACAAAATGCAAAAAACCTCACATAAATTGTGTTCTAAGATCAGTTTGCAGACAAGGTAAGCAACTCAATGTCACCAATGGAATCAGGCACCCTATAGCTTAGTGACAGTGGTGTATCTGAAAATGAAAATAAGTTATTAAGGAAATAGTGTGTCAAGAAAAATTGTAAGGTCAATGACCCTCAGGGTTTGGTGTGATATCAAAACTGAGTTGTACCAGAGACAGAAGGTACCTATATCATCTCACTGGAAAAAATGTGCTTTAAAAATAGAATAACAGTACTAGGTTCCACTCTAAGGTTAGGACTTCCCCAGTTATTTTACTAGATGACATGTTGCTAAGTTGTCTGCTAAATATTTATGTTTGTACCCATGTACCTGGGCTGTCCTCAGCCTTGGTCATAGAGTCTTATTTTGCAGTAGGAAACAGTTGACAGAGAAATGCATGATTGGTCTAAGTACTGAGAATAAGAAATTCAGTGCTCAGTCCTAAAGGGGACATCCATCAACACCCTCCCCACCCCCACACAGCCAGGCTCAGGGGAAATCACGGTAAAGGAGGAAACAATAATGAAAGAACCAGATAATGGGGATTAGAGCTTTGAAATACCGACTTCTAGGCATGATGTGGCTATTAACACTCAAGAACCCAGAGCACCTGAGGTTTACATGCACAAGCTCTGTACAAGAGCAAGCCAACCAAAATTCAGGCAGAGATGGGGAAGGTGATCTCTGGGCCCTACCCCTTACTGAGGTGCTTGCTACTGGCAGTTGATGGTATCTGGGACAGGGAGAATCATTTTTCTTGGTGTGTACGGCCATTGGTAGTTTTCCCATGGTTAAGGGGATAGCCACATAATTATGAATTTATGGCCATTACTAATCAGACATAATGGGTTATCAAAAATACAAGAAATTGGGAGGGGTAGGGTGGGAGAGTTAGAGTGGGTATGAGTGAATATGAATATTTCATTGTATACATGTATGAAATTCTCAACACTAAAGGAAAATTACTTTTAAAAAAACTAGAAAAAAGGCCGGGCATTGGTGGCACATGCCTTTAGTCCCAGCATTTGGGAGGCAGACAGGCAGATCTCTGTGAGTTCAAGACCAGCCTGGTCTACAAGTTCTAGGACAGCCTCCAAAGCCACAGAGAAACCCTGTCTTGAAACAAAACAAAACAAAACAAAAAACCCAAACAAACAACAACAACAACAAAAACTAGAAAAAAGATTGACAAATAAGATGTAAAGGAAAAGTAGAAAAGTACCTTCAATCTTACCCTCAAAAAGGAGTTGTGGTAATATTTCTCCAGGTCACTTATGTATTTGTATAACATTTAAGCTGCGATTGTATCCTATCTATCATTCCATCCACTATTATTTTAGCAGCATTTTCCTCATTACAGAATTTTCTCAAAAATACATAATTATATGGATGAGTACAATGTTAAGACACTAAAGGTATCATAATCCTATTATTTGGTTTTGGATGCTCTGACAATGTGTTATATTTCTGAATTTTAACATTATTAAAATGCTGCACTACACATATTTGTGCATCAGTGTTTCTCCTCATCATAGATTATTGGCCTGGTTCTACAGTCATTTAAGACATCAATTACACCCGATCACCTGACAGGTTTTAATACTTTTCCTAAACATTTGAGATTATCTGTCTTTGTACAGGTCCTCCCAGCCTTTTCTACTGGTTTGCCTTCACAGAGTTATTAGACACCTGTGCCTTACTTGGAAGTGGTCACAATCATTAGTGTGCCTGTCTTAATCTGAAAGTTTATTATATTAGCAAAAGTTAATTAACATTTTTTCATCTCTAAATTGTTGACTATCCTTAGTGCCATAGTTACATTTTCTTACAAGTATGAGGTTCACTTCACAAGATGGAATCCAATCCATGCCTGGTACTATCTACTAAGTTAAAAACCCATGACTTTGGAGGTCTTCAGCCCTATGTGGAACTTACTAATGCTAATTAGCTGAATTGACATGGTCACAAGCTGCCTTCTAGATAGGTATTTTTATTGCTATCAGCAAATGGCAGTGGAAGTTGGTGAGTGAATTGCATGGCTCCTCAAAACACCAAGAATAAGCAGCAGCTACTGAGCTGTACACAGCCCTCAAGAAGGCATTCATATCACTCTCTCCAAGGGTCTGGAAACAATGTTGAAGTGGAGACAGGAAGAATGTAATAGCAAGAAGATAGGGATAAGGGATATGAAATTTTGTGATATACATATGACACAACCAATGCAAACATGACATGGCAACAGAGGCTGCAACGAATGGGCTTGCATAAGACTAGACCTGTCAATTACATATAGGGAGGGTCCATGTGGTTCTACTCCCTGATGAATTATAAACTACTGATGGATTCTGGAGGAGAGGCAGCTATTGTCTTCAGTCTTGACCCACTGATTAGCTCAAGTGGCTCAAGTGAATAGTAGCAAAGCCATGGACACTGACAACTCTGGTTAAACTCAGTGAGTTAGAAAAAGAAAGAAAAGCCATGGCTGTGGGAAAGGGAATTCTAAGGGGGTACTGTAGGGTAATAAGGTGGGAGGGATGTAAGAGAGGGTTAGGGTAACAATGATCAGAATATATTATCTGTGTATGAAATTGCAAAGGAAAAGCTATTATTGCTGAAAATGTACACAATTCTTGTATTTTGTAAACTGTCATGCTGACTCATTCTGGGTGGTAGAATCATAAACTTCTCAAAACATCTGTTATGAAACTGGAGATGATTATGGCAGGTGTCAGTTCAGGCTCTATTTAGAGTTCATTCCTTCTAGCACATTAGGAACAAAAGGATGTGATTATATTTGTAATGACAAATACTTACCTCAGCTTCTTCCTGCTCTTTTTTGAGTCGGTCTAACATCTGCTGAAATTCTAATTCTTTCTGTTTTGCTTCTTCAATGTTGGCCTGGTTCTGCTCTTCATATGCCATGGCTACCACAGCCAGGATCAGGTTTATCAGGTAAAAGGAGCCCAGGAAAATCACCACGACAAAGAAAATCATGTAGGTTTTGCCAGCAGCACGTAAAGTCTGGGGGTAGGGAGTGAAATTGTTATTTTAATAATACAAAAATATTACTAGTTTACTAGTTTTTCACTGGGGTTCATAATAAAGAACATACAAATCAGATATTTTGTATAATTTCATGTTATAGAAGTATAAATGAAAATAATATATTTGAAGAAAGTCAGTATTAAACAAACTTTTTTAATATTATAAAAGATATAGCAATGTTATATCCTGGCACTAAGGTTTGATTCTTCATTAGTATTAAATATAATAATATAGCAATCCCTCATTTTTCACATTTCTTAAATTACTGGTAACTTTAGCTCCCAGGATGTCTTTTAATTTTTTAGAGAGGCCCCTTATTGTTACAATCTTATTCTTTCCTTTTTAAAGCATAGATTATCATTTTAAACTTTGATGCAGACAGATTGCCCAATTGATTGAATTTATCTATTGACCTTATGGATATTTATTTTTACCTAGTATCACCATTAATAATTTTAAGTGCAATTTATCTTCTGCTCTCTATAAAATTTTTAGATTAATTCAAAATAGTATAGTGATGTTACTGAAACTTATCTACCTCTGAAATTTCTAGTGTTTTAGTTACTCAATTCCATGTTCTACCACTCTGTTGTACTTATTATTTTTCTCTTGAATAAATTCCTAGAAGTGGAATTACTAGGTCAATGGAAACATTTGTTTTGATTTTCATTAGCTTTCTACAAAGGTAATTAACTACCAGTGTGTGAGAAAGTCTAGCTTCCAAACCTTATCTTAAATATGACCATCTTTCGACTTCCCTTTGTAAAATTATATGTCAGTGTTTTTATTTATGTGACCTTAATTTTGAGCTAAGATAACACCCTTTCATATATCTATAAAGCTGGGGACTGCTATGGTGGTCCACAACTGTGGCCCTGGATACTCTGGAAGATGAAGAAAGAGGACCATGTGAGCCCAGCAGCATAGCATTCTAAGACTCTGTTTCTCCCCCCAAATTATTTCTATTACTTTAATTTCCTACTTTCCTATTTTATATATTTCTTATAACTTTTATACTATTCACAGAAGTAAATATAAAAGAGGCCAAAAGAAGTTCCTGTAGAAATTCCGAGAAAAGAAATTCATGGTTACAAGGAATAATAGAATTATCATTTCAAACACTTCCCTTTTTAGATTGTGTGCTGAGAATAAATAATAAATCCATAGAGACTCTATGTCAAGCACCTCATAACCATGCTAGGGTAGATGGCCATGTGATGGAACAGTATAGCAGATTGATGCTGTAAGCTGAGGAATGTTTAAAGGGTCATGAAGTCAAAAGGAAGAAGTAGTTGACAAGGGAGAGGAAAGTTTGGAGAAGACATGAGTATTTAATTGTAAATAAAGGTTCAACAATAAACTGTGGTGGGCACAGTACAGGAGAGTCTCACAGAATCAGACAGCCCATTCCTGTGAAGGAAGTGGTGACTGTGCAAAGGCAGCTCAAGAAACTGTGATATTCTCTGCTCTTTATGTCAGACCTTACCAGGTAATATACAAAGAAAGGCCTAAAAATTAACATTGCTCAGAACAGAGAAAAAATTATTTATGATCTAAGAACTATCTGTTCTACTACTAGTAGGATAAATGATCTCTAACACAGAAATAAAGTGGAAACAACAGTAACTAAATAGCTCAGAAGATAGAAAACAATGTATACTAGGCATTGACAGCCTTCAGAGAAGGATGATTCTGTTGACACCCACCTGTTGGTAAAGGTTCTCCCAGTAGTCTTGAGTCATTAGCCGAAACAAGGCTAAGAAGGCCCAGCTGAAAGTGTCAAAGCTTGTGTAGCCATAATCAGGGTTTCTGCCAGCCTTCACACACTCATACCCTTCTGGACACTGACTGCAGATGAAAAAGGATATTACAGGACAGAATACGTTCATCATGTAGCTAAGCAGCACTATAGCAGTGGTAAGTTCAAGATTCACTTTAGAGTCTCAGTGTTGCAGAACAACTAAGAGCATGTAATCTTCGATCAGAATGGACATTGCATCCCATTCAACTATTGACTAGTTGCCCATTTTTCCAAGTTACTTAAATTCTCAAAGGTACACTTTCCTCCACTGGAAATAGCAAAATGACTTATCTCCAAAACATAAAGATTTGACTTTGAATAATAACATGATTAACCCACTCCATGCTCATAGAACCATTTAGTAAATGGTAGATTGCAAATGCAACATATTCATCAACTCAAATCAATAAGGTTTGCTATGAAGACCTCTGGCAAAATGGCTTCTCTGAGTTATTCTCAGAGTGAATTAGAACCAAGGACAGCCATGACACGTTTGCGAATGCTTTCAAAGATCTGTGGCTGTAAACCTTTTCTCTTCCTAAAACTAGAAGATGGATTTTTAGCCTCCTTAGATGAATAGGGTGTTTTTAAGGGTTTTGTGGAGAAGCAAAACTGTTGATTCTGAGGTTGGCAGTTTCCAGAGTCTGATAAAGAGATTCCTTGATGTGACACAGAGTAGGAACAAAGTTTCCATGCAATCTGAGTGTGGTGTATGGAGAAATCAAAATGGTGTTTGCATATATAGAAGGTTTTCAAAATATCTTTACCCTAGTCCACAGGACCCTGTGTAGATTGATCAGAACAGTATACTCTGTTACCTATGAGTCATATTGAATTAGGCAACGGAGAACTTTGAGATGGAAAGAAATTTTGCTATTCTTCTTTCCAAGGACAAAAGCCTAAACCAGCCAACTAACATTTAATAGGCTTTTAGGAAGTAATTCTTGCATATCCCAAGATTCTATGACTGCTATTTTGCTTTGATTCAAGTTTACCTCATGTTCTGTCTTGCTTTCAAGCTCATGCATAAACTATAAACATTTTAAAATCTGTTCATTGTTAGATAAGATGAGCAAAATCAATGGAATGAAATTTACAAAAATTGTAATATAGATTTAAGAGTGCTCATCAGCAACCAAATTGAGCATGAGATTTTTCTTTTGCAATTAAACTGAAAGCATAGAAAATGTTACTTACCCAGAATCTGTGCTGAAACCACAAAGGAGAGCATCTTTGGTTCCCTCCAAGTAATAAAAATATTCTGTTTAGGAAGAATTTGAACAATATAGCATTACAGGATGTAAGCTCAAAGAGTCATGTGGCAAGTAATTTAATGGGTATAGACCCATATGCAAACATATTAGGTCTGATCACTGGTAATGAATATTTATATGTTTTTATATTCTCATATATTATTCATAAAATATCTACTTACAGCATTTTATGTACCAGTGAATGATTGTGAAGACAAAAATGATAAAATGTCACTAGCTTTGCATAGTTTCCTTTATCTAGTGCATATGGATGTTGGTGTATGTAGGAAAACAATTAAGTAAATAATATGTGTAGTAATTTCAGATAGTAGCTGGTTTGGGTCTTCATTGTTGCCACTCTAGTGTTGAAGGCTTGTTCTTCAGTGCACAAAGTCAGAGTCAGTCATCCTTGGGATGTTATTGATTGAATCAAAATGGCTCTAAAACTCATGAATGGATTAATGCATATGGGACAGGTCTTAACAGGATATTGAGAAGCAACAGAGAACTAACTATGAAGGTCAGGCATAGTTGGAGCAAGAATGTAAGTTGCTGGGGATATTCTCTCGAAGGATACATTTTGTCCTTGGTTTCTTCCTGTCTTCTTTCTCTTTGTGTTTCCTGGCTACCATGAGATGAGCAGTTTCTTTGGCTGTTATTGTAATGTGCTCATTATCGTAATGCTCTGCCTTACCACAAATTAGAAACAACAGAGCTAAGTAACCATGGACTAAAACTTCTGAAACGTTGAGCTAAATTGACTTTTTCTCATTTAATCTGATTTATTCATACATTTTCAAAAAGAAATAGAGAGTTATAACTGCTTTGATAGGGCAAGTCCTTCTGTGTATGTTTATCTTATTGGTTGTTGAATAAAGTACTGTTGGCCAATGAAGAAGCAAGTTAGGCGGGACTAGGAGTCAAAGAGAATTCTGGGAAATGTAGTAAAGATAAGTCTTGTGGTCCAGGCAGGAAGTGACATAGCAGGCAGACTCAGAATATAAGCAAGAAATCGCTCTCTTTCTCTTCCTCTTCCTCTTCCTCTTGATCTCTGCTCTGGAGCCGCCAAGTGATCTCCTCAAGTCAGGACGCATTCTGCCAGTGTCTCCATAAGTCAAGTCTTATGATTATGGTTGATAACCAAGACTGAGCTAGCAGATAAGGAATCCTAGTCATTGGCCAAGCATTTGAAACTAATATAAATCTCTGTGTATTATTTGTGACCCTAATGTGGCAGGTGGAACTCAGGTGGCTTGGCAGAAAGCCACTCATATTTTTCACCTTAGACTTTTCCTGGTGCCCTTTGCACCCATTTTTCATTGTATAATTTTCCTGGTTTCTTCATCATTCAATTTTAAGACTTCCTGCTATGACTGGAAGGCAACTCAATTTTTCAAATTACATAAAGGACTATAGAAGCTTATATCATCACTCCCAAATATTAATAGTTTTTTATTAATGTGTATTAATTCTATAAAATAATAAATTTCTCTATGACATTTATGTACATGCATATAATACCATTTTTTAAAAGGGCTCAAATTCCCATTTGGTTCAATTCAACAACAACAAAAAATGTAATAGGACTTTTGTAGTGATAATGGAATTAAGACTTTGAAGTTGTATATTCTTCTACTTGTGTATTGCTTCTATGGATTTCTATGCAATGAAATCACCTAACTGCTTTAGCTGCTGCACTTGTGAATTGTAGTTATAAATACTCATGGAGTTCTTAAGTGATTCATAGATTACTTTGCAAATCGAGCAATAACAAATTTCCACATGTACTAGTCATTGAAGGACAAGCACTACCATCATTAAGCTATCATTTAATTTCAAAGGAAATTAACTACCGCCTCACACATCAGCTTCCTGTTTTATTTACAAGATACAAGCAAAACTGGAAAACATCCTACTTAGTGAGATTTAATAAATATCTTTGAAAAAAAATCCTGTGCTTCATCAATGTTGAGTCTGGCAATGTAAAGAAAGTCAAGGTAAGATGCAATTTTCTATCCCTTTTATTAATATTTATTTATTTGCTTTGGGGTTTTGATGTAAGGTTTTGCCATGTATTCTAGGTTTACATAAAACTTCATGTAACCCAATCTTGTATCAAGCTCTTGTCCTCCTATCTGTCTCCTAAATGTGCAGGCTATAGAGATGGGCTACTACATCTGAGTCCTTTGATGTCACCTTTCACACACGAACCTACCTGATAGTTCACTGAGGTAAGATTGCCTAGTGGTTAGCCATGAAACTTAAACTGAATATCCATCAGTCATTGAGGAGCTGGATCATAGGAAAAGGCATTGGAGCTACCTAAACTCTCACACTTCCAGGCTTCCATTTAATTCAGTAGGCATGATGAAAGGCCTAGCAATGCAGGTAGCTCATTTTGCTCTTATAGAGCACATTACAATCATTTCTAACCAGCCACTGAATGTGTAGTGTAATTGGCCCCAAGAGAATATAATTTTAATATCTAAACGAAAGGAGAACTGCCCTGGAAAGAGAAAGTAATCATTGTATGAAATCTAAAATAAATGATTCTGAAAGTGATTTATTAACTGATATAATCATGACTCATTAATTTAACCACAGTTACACCCTGAGAGTTGAAAATACCTTCCTGCTGCTGTCTACTCTCTCCATATCTCTTCAATATTGTACTTGAAATTCTAGCTAAAGCAATAAGACAACAAAAGGAGATTAAGGGAATATAAATTGAAAAAGAAGAAGTCAAATTTCACTATTTGCAGATGATAGGTTACATAAGTCACCCAAAAATTCTACCAGAGAACTCCTACAGCTGATAAACACATTCAGCAAAGTGGCAGGATACAAGGTTATCTAAAAAAATCAGTAGCCCTACTATATACTGATGATAAATGGGCTAAGAAAGAAATCAGAGAAGCATCATCCTTTACAATAGCCACAAACAACATAAAATATATCAGGGTAACACTAAACAAACAAGTGAAAGACCTGTATAGTAAGAACTTTGAGTCTTTAAAGAAAGAAATTAAAGAAGATACAAGAAAATGAAAAGATGTCTCATGCTCTTGAATCCACAGGATCAACATAGTAAAAAGGGCAATCTTGCCAAAGCAATCTACAGATTCAATGCAATCGCCATCAAAATACCAGTGCAATTCTTCCCAGACCTTGAAGAACAATACTCAACTATATATAGAAAAACAAGAGACTCAGGATAGCCAAAACAACTCTGTACAATAAAGAAACTTCTGGAGGCCTCATCATCCCTGACTTCAAGCTCTATAATAGAGCTATAGCCCTGAAAACAGCTTGGTATTGGCACAAAAATAGACAGGTAGAGCAATGGAATCCAATTGAAAACCATGATATTAACCTACACACCTACAAACACCTGATTTTTGACAAAGAAGCTAAATTTATACAATGGTAAAAAGAAAGCATCTTCAACAAATGGTGCTGGCATAACTGGATGCTGACATGTAGAATACTGCAGATAGATCCATATGTATTGTCATGCACAAAACAAAAGTCCAAATGGATGAAAGACCTCAACATATATCCAGCCACATTGAACTTTTAGAAGAGAAGATGGGAGGTACCCTTGAAAGAATTGGTACAGGAGACAGCTTCCTGAACATAACACCAGTAGCACAGACATTGAGATCAACAATTAATAAATGGGACTTCCTGAAACTGAGAAGCTTCTGTAAGACCAAGGACACAGTCAATAAGACAAAACAGCAGCCCAAAGAATGGGAAAAGATAATCACCAACTCCACATCTGACAGGGGCATAATTTCCAAAATATATAAAGAAATCAAGAAGCTAGTTTCCAAAACATCAAATAATCCAATTAAAAAATGGTGTACAGAACTAAATAGAGAATTCTCAATAGAGGAATCTAAAATGCTTGGAAGACACTTAAGAAAGTGCTCAACATCCTTAGCCATTAGGGAAATGAAATTCTAAACAACCCTGAGATACCATCTTACTCCTGTCAGAATGGCTAAAATCACAAATACCAATGACAGCTTATGCTGGAGAGGATGTGAGAAAGGGGAGCATTCCTCCACTGCTGGTGGGAGTACAAACTCATACAGCCACTTTGGAAATCAGTCTACCACAAGATCCAGCAATCCGACTCTTAGGCATATACCCAAAAGATGCACATTCATACAACAAGGACATCTGTTCAACTATGTTCATAGCAGCATTATTTGTAATAGCCAGAACCTAGAAGCAACCTTAGATGCCCTTCAACTGAAGAATGGATAAAGAAAATGTGGTACGTTTACACAATGGAGGAAAAAAAAAGGAATCTTGAAATTCACAGGCAAATGGGACTTGAAGAAGCCATCCTGAGTGAGGTAATCCAGTCATAAAAAGACAAACATCATATGTACTCACTCAGATAATGATTGTAGACATAGACAAAAGGATTACCAGCAGTTTTTCTTTCCTTTTCTTTCTTTCTTTCTTTTTTTAAAGAAGAAAGAGTTTATTTGGCTTATGGTCCCAAAGGGATACATGACCATCTTGGCAGGGAAATGTGGCGCTAAGGGGCAGGCATGGTGGAGGATGAGGAAGCTGGGAGCTCAGATCCTGAACCACAAGCTTGAAGCACAAAGAGCCAATTGGAAATGGCTGTAATGGCTGTAGGCTTTTAAATCTCACAGCCCACATCCAGTGACACACTTCCTCTGACAAGGTCACACCTCTTAAGCCTCCCCAAAAAGCACCTGCAAATGGGGACCAAATCTAACAGTTTTTCTACAGGATTAAGAAAGCATTTGAAGGCTATTGTGTTCATGGCTCCTGTGGGGACTTCTGCACTAGTCATCTCCTTAGGAATGTTAATCACCTGTTGCATCAGTTCTCAAGATATAGCAAGTACTCTTACTTTCCCTCCTTTCTTTGTCTGCTTACATCTATGGACTCTCATTTCATCTTCCTTTGGTAGTGTTTCAGTGTCCACACATCTTTCTGTTTATTGAAGTAATCTAGCAGA